AGGTTTGTCCAGTTTTATAGAATCTACCTGTACAAGGAATGAAATGCTAAATACCTTTATTGAAGTTGAAATACTGACTGCAAGTGATGTGTGTGTGCGTATAAGCGTGGTAAATTACTCAAAAACAGGAATTGAATTTCAAAAATTTAAAAAGCGCAATAGAATTCGGGTTTAATCTATTTTTGCTCATACCGTAAACATACTCCCTACCTTGGTAAACAGGTGGCTCGTAGCTACTGGAATCCGTAACTTTCTTACCCATGGAGAATTATGAAGTTGTCAGTAATTTGACTTGTTGCAGAGAACATCTCAGAGGCGACTCTTTGTTGCAACTGTGAATGCACATTGAGGGCCATCAACTTATTACCCTGTTCATCACTGCTGCAGTGCAACTAACACCGTGAGTGTCAAATGTCCTACCTTTTTGATGGAGCCTGTCAAGCATACTGCTTAACCTCCTGTTGTCAAGTAATTCTATGTTCAGCAGATCTGAGCACTTTGCAAAAAATGTTGGTATGTAATTGCACAGAGTTACCGCAAGGAGTGGTGCAATTACAAGGCAGTGAAATACTATTATCAGGCATTCACTTTTGTAAATACAAGCAACCAGTGACAAGGATTCGACACCTTTCTTGTTGCCTTTATGGCTTATCGGGAGAGGATTGTCGAATATGCGTTTAACTAGGCATTTCGAGTCTAAGCTACTTCATCCCAACATAAACTGATTAAAAGCCTTGATTATAGGCACCTCTAAGCACCATGCATGCTCGAGCTTATGCTGTCTCCAAGGTTGTTCAACTTGCGGTGAACGTGTGTAATGATTATGTATAAAACGAGTTTCAAGTGTCACTGTCTTTCCCTAAATGCGCATTGCGTAGTTTAAGTTGTGCCTAAAAGGTGTTTGTTGCTTTTGTTATTAAGTACCTAACAAGTTCTCTCGGAATCGATCGGGAACTCGGGACTTTGCTCAGAAGAAAATGGGATAGACCACTTCATTGTCTGCCGTTTGATCAGGAAAGACTTACTGCGTGTAAAAGGCACCTGGTTTGTCCTACATTAGCCATAGAGCCATGCAATTCGGTTGTTTAATTGCAAAGTTCTATTTTTAGCAAGTGTTTTTGAGAAGGTAAGCTGTAATAGGCCTTCATCATTAAAGTTTGTATAGCATTGGATAGACAATCACGTAGAAATATAAACCATGTCCGCTTTTAGAGAGATAACAACGGCAAAATCTTTTGTTGGCTGTACTATGTTTGCAACTTGCGCCTGTGTATTATTAGTGGGATTTCTTTAGTCAACTGGTTCCAAATGGTACCAATTTTCATGCATCAAGACTAGCACATTGCTTTATAAGCGAAGCCAAAATTCCAAGTGTTAAATTTTAAGAGCACCAAAGTGCTTAACAGCTTTTCAATGCACCAACTAAATTGCAGCTGCTCTTGTTTATATGAAGAAACGATGTATAAGGGATGGCCTATACGCTTACATAAACACGAATATCGGGTGGCTTGTCATTTGTCGTTTCTAATTGGATAAGAATGAGTCGAAGTCTACTCCTCAACAGCTGCCATAAAATTCCACAACTCGGTTTTGGAACCTTCGACGTAATGACACTTTCTTCTAATGTATGTCGATTGTAGGCTGTCAAAACAGTCGTATCCAAAGCAGTCCAAGTGGCCATCAGCACTGGCTTTCGCCACATCGACAGCGCCATGTTCTATAAAAATGAAAAGGAAGTCGGTGCTGCAATAGCAGCATCCATGGAAAGGCACAACCTCAAGCGTGAAGACATCTTTCTGGCTTCGAAGGTACTCCAACACTACTGAAATTTGCCATTCTGGAAGTAGCTTTGGTGTGACAAACACGCACCCGAAGATGTCCGCAAAACGTGCGAACTGTCGGTGCAAAACTTCAACCTCCAGTATCTTGACCTTTACTTGATACACTTTCCTGTGTCCTTCCAAATGAAGGGAGGTGCTGGCTTCGACGTCAATGGTCCCAACTCACTCACATTTGAATATCATAAGCTTGAGGATACATGGAAGGTAGATTGGAAGAGAATACAAGGGTCTCCCTTTTAGGCCATGGAGGAATTAATTACGGCTGGGCTAGTCAAATCGATTGGAGTGTCTAATTTTAACAGAAAACAGGTTGAACGCATTCTGGCATCCTGCACAATACCGCCAGCTGTGAATCAAATCGAAGTCAATCTCCATTGTCTTAACACGAAGTTGATTGAGTTTTGTCGCTCCAAGAACATTTTGATTGAGGGCTATGCACCCATCGGTTCTCCCGGTTTCATACAGTATGTCTGTGCATATCTACA